ACGTTTGAGTCCCGTGACCTACAATATTGTGACGGACTGCTGGGTAAAGCCCGTCGATGAAGCGCTGTGCTCTCTGTGCCTCCGTACGAACCAGGTCCGGAACAAAAGCTGCAAGTCTGGTGAACTCTCTCTCGTACTCGTCTACAGAACGACTACCCTGCTTGAGCGACAGGAACTGACGCTCCATCTTTGCTCTGTAGTAGGTGGGGTAGTACTTTTCGCGGATCAGCTCCTTAAGCTTATCCCATGTACATCCCGCCTTCTCACCGGGACGCATGCTCCAGTAGGCATTCCACCAGAGCCGGGCATCGCCGGTTAGCTGAAGCTGAGCGCAGATTACACGATATCTGTCGTGACAATCCATGACCTCGAAGATCAACTCAAGGCCCTTAATCCACTCGTCCACGATACGTGGGTCTCCCTGCCCAGAGAATTTCTCAGTATGATAGTCGCGGAACTGTGCGACTACTGTGGCCTGGGGAAGAACCGGATGATCGGGTTCCCTACGGGGCAACATCTGATCATTGAAAAAGTTCAACATTATTGAACACATGAAGAATATTCTGACTGATTTCTAAAGTACACAGATCTCTTGACGAGTTGCCAAAAATGGCCGGAAATATTGATATAGATCCTGAAGACGTCTAGAGTTATATCTGAGTACACTGAGTTCTAAGGTCTGATCCTGATTCGAGCATCTTAACTAAGTCATGATTAATAATTTCTGAGCATAGGCATAGTAATATGTTTATAACTGAAAACATAAATCAACACTTACCTGTAGTAGGCGAGGCGTCAGCGAGACGGTTCAGGTTTTCTGAAAATATTCCGACTCGTAAAAACTTTTCAGAGACGCAGAAACGTGCTCTGATACCAATTGTAACACCCTGCCTTTTTACTGAAATCAGAGTACGCTTTTTCGCTAATTTTCTAAACAAATAAATAAAATATTTATTTTGTGAAAATTGATTCGGAGTGTTACCGTAAAATCTGACTTTTCTGAAAAACCGTTAATTGTTAAACTGATAGTAAAAACGGTTCTAAAACATTTTAACCGACTAACGTCGGGTCAAAAGCTAATTTAAAGTACTAAAAACCGTAGCGGAAATGTAGCGTGGCCAAAACATAATATATACATATAAACATAAGTCCTGAGTCTCTCGCTCGCTCACTCCTCGGCTCCGACTCTATGACCTGAAAAACATGAAATACGTGGGGGCGTGAGCACTAACACACTGTGCTCCGCAGAAACTCATACTAAAGTAAACAGTGAATATAATAACAATATCATGATCCTGGTATGTATACATAACCTGAACATGAAACCGGTAATAACATGAACATGAACCTGATATCATCACGTGAACGTGAACCATGACCGTTACCTCATTTGCCAGCATAAAAATGTCGGACAGCATGTGCACACTCTAGTGCGCAGACTAAGGCCACTAGAACCCAGAATGGACCGGCGACCATTCCGAGCGGATACATGACATGAAATACATACCTCAAACAGGGTACCGTAATTATAATCAATGTAATACCCAGTCTGAGTCCCCACCTGATCCGTGAAAATAAAGGTAG